TCTCCCCTTCCATGTCCCGGCGGCTCTTCCAGGCGTAACACAGCGCACCTTTCTCTCCCCGACCCTGTTTGCTGTTTCTTGTCTTAAAGGAGGTGCCGCTATCCACTCTGACACCAGCGCTAGAAAACTGCATGTCACCTCTGACTGCAATCTTTCCCTGTCCTCCAGTGTTTGACCAATGAGTTACGCTCATCACACCTTCCAGTCTGTGAGATTCGTGCAGATAGAAACCGTACTAGAAGCGTCATCTCAGTGCCAAGCATGATGCTCATACATAATTACTGAACGAGTTAGCAGAGATCAGTGAAGCCGGAATACGCCCACTGCCTTCCGTTTTCCTTGCCTTTTCTGCACTGGGGCACCAGGAGCTCTCCCCGACTCACTAACTCAGGGTTGAGAAATTCCCCGTGACTGAAACAGCCTCGCTGGTTTTCCTGCTTCTGCAGCCTCAGTTCCCGCTCACAGCACCTGTGTGGTTCGCTGTCCACCTCACCCTCAGGAGGAATTTTTATAAAAGCCAAGAATCTGAGCATGATCATGCCTCCTCCCTGCTTGAAGTCCTTCAGCACCTGAGTAACCATCCTGATTCAATGCCCGGGTTTATAGCTGTCTCAGAACACTCAAAGCTGTCCTGGGCTGGACACCCGTTCTGTGACCCCTTTGCACCCGACTTAACCTGCACTCGCTTCCACGCCTGCCACATCTTTCCCTCCTCACATCTACGTGGAGCTTCGGAGACACTTTCAAATGCACTGTATGTGCTGTTCTCAGTGCTCTTCTGCCTGGACCACCTCCGTGCCCTGCTGGGCTGACTCCTGGCTTCCAGACCTCGTGCTGGGTGCTGTTTTAGGGAGGAGTCATCGCTGGCCCCGAGTCGATGTCGGGCCCTTCCTTGTGCTGCCAGGGATCTTGCATTTCTCCGTCCCAGCTCTTGCATCGCTGCCTTCATTGCCCACGAACTTCCATGCGCTTCCTGCTAGACTGAGCTCTGGCGGGTCAGCAACGACATCTGCTCACCACACAGTTGAATTCCAGTCCAAAACCCAGGGTCTGGTATGTAGGAGACACTCAGCAAATATTTGCTGCATGAATGAAGTGAGGTATCACATGGTAGAAGAATGATGCAACTGTGCATGTAGAAAGATTTCATTCTGTAACTACAGTTGTGGGAAATGTCTCATTTTGTGGCTATAAACAGAATGTTGTCGTCTTGTCCCGGCTCCTCGTGCTTGTGATGATTTTGTGTCCCTTTGGTGAAAAGTTCATTCTAGGACAGGATTTGGTGTTGATACACACTGTCAATTCCCGGAAGTCTTGCAGGTGATAATGTTGCAAAACAAAGAACAGATGTTTACCAGCCACATCAAGCTATGAAGGTTCCTTTCCTTTCGACTATGTAGGAGAGATGGGTTTTAAAGTTAGTTACTTTCAAGTTAAAATTAAATTTCTTTTTATTATTTTAACAAATTATAGTTTAAGTTCTAAATTCTATTCTCAACACTAATAAGCAACAAATATAAAATAGCTCATGCTTCCAATATGATTATTTGTACTGTGTTATTTGTACATTTGAAATTTTATGCTTTGAGCTGTTGATTCTTACACTGTGATTTGATCTACCAAAGAATCCTAACATCACAGTATTTTGTCCCACATACACTGACCGAAAGGATTTCTGTACTAGCTGAGGATTTTATACTTATCTGTGGCATCATCAAATAAAATAGGTTAAGAGCGTTTTGTTTTGTTTTGTTTTGCTTTTTTCAAATAGAAACAGCTTTGGAATTTTTCTGCTTACAGTAGCAATACACATTCTCTACCAAAAAAAAAAAGTCAGAAACTATAAAGAAGAAAATGAAGCCATCTATAATCCCACTTTAGGTTATTGTGTTAAATATTGTAGGGCTTGTATTTTTAGGGTTTTTTTCCCTGTATATGCCATCGTGTTAATGCAGGTTTTTGTTTTATATGAAAATAGTGTCGTTCCACACTATGACTTTTAAATAAATGGGTTTTTCACTTGAAAAGTTTGGGAACTTTCAGGGAGCAAAATGGGTAGATTTGGGGGCAAGTTTTGCTTTTCAGTGTTTTGACTACTGTACTTTCCCATTCATTTCTCCCATTAGGAAAAAAAATCTATAAAAATCTGTATTCCTCCTCAAATCACTTGGCTTTGTGTGCAGAAATAAGCCTCCCCCTGCCCCCACCCCCGGCCATGACTGGGGAAGGAGCTGGGGGCAGAAGCAGCCTGCAGGATGCCTGGCTCCATGGACACATCGCCCTGCTGGCGTGCGGGGACTGTCTCATCACTGCCACTTCCGTTCCCCCTCCAGCCACTTGGGCTTTTGGCATGATCCCTGCTGCCTGGAAACGGATGCCCTGTGTCCTGTCTGGAAGCCAAAGGACAAAAATGCTCCCCATCAGAAGTCATGTAGATTTCTCCTGCCTCGTTTCCATCTTCAAAATTCCACATTAGTGCCAGAGATTGGCAGGACTTAAATCACATCTGGAAGCCTAGCTCAAGGGAATGTAGCAGATGCAGTTTTTAGGTGTCCAGCCCTTGCCATCAGGGGCAGCCCAAGCCCACCCATCAGGATGCTGGAGCGGCAGGTGACCGTCACCATGGTCACCACACAGCGAGGCTTTGGACCATCACTGTCTGGAGGAGAATTTTAGCCCAGATTAAGAGAGACAGAACCTGAAGGGGTAATACAGACTGCTATAGTGTCTTTATCTTCATTGCTAGTCCTTTCCTGTTTTTCATCTCTCTTGTCAGTCACCAGTAGCCTCCTCCACTCTGCGGTGCTCAGGGGTGAATCCCAGGCTTCGATTACTCGAGGTCAGCACGTTTGACAGGACAGCTGGTTCCTGAAGCTCTGAAGCTCTTTCTTCATCTGATTTCCAGGGCTGCACGCGCTCCTGGTCTCCACCCGCTCGCCATGCACCCTGCTGCATCCTGCCATCTCTCCGGCTCTCCTGTCTGTGCCCCGGGACTCGGTACCTTACCCCCTTGTCATCTCATCCAGTGTGTGGCTCTAAATACCCTGATCCCCAAACAGAAGTCCCCTGTAGCTGCCTACCCAAAAGTACCTTTAAGGTGCTTTCCAGACTTCTCCAGCTTAGCATTTCCTGAGCCGGCTCTGCTCTCCCCCTCTGTCTCCCGCTTTGGGTCTTCATCTCCGTTTCTGACATCTATATCATTCCAGTTTCTTAAAACAAAAACTGGGAGTTGTCCTTGGCTTCCCTCCTTGTCTTACGTTCCTGTCCATCCGTCAGCAAATCTTGTTGTTTCTACTTCCCCGCCACCCGCCGTCCGCTGTTTCTCCCTGTTCCCGCTGCTGCCTGCTGCTCCAGGCCTCTGTTCCTTTTCTCTTGACGGTTACTCCAGTTCCCAGACGGCCTCTGTGCGGCCTCCCTGGCGTCTCACAAAGTTAGACCAGGTCCCCCATCTGCTCCAGACATCCCAGGGGATTTCCGTCCTGCTCAGGAAGAGTCAGAATCCAGACCACCACCACCCTCGGGGCTCTTCCCAGTACCGGTCTCCGCTGCCACGGCCCGACCCGCTCCCTGCCGTGCCGCCCCTGCTCCTCTCTCTGTGGCCTCTCGGTGGCCTCAGGCACACCTGTCCCTGTGGTCTGGGCATTGCCAGCCCCTCTGCTTGGACTGCTGGCCCCTCTTGGTATCCATAAGGCTCTTTCATCTCCTTCAGAACCCCGCTGTGTGGGCTCAATGGGGTCTCCCTGGTCACCCTGCTTCAGGTCACAAGCGCATCTGCTGGGGGCCTTCCAACCTGCCCTGGCAGCCTCATTGCTTCTCCAGAGCACTTGGACTTCCCCGCGAACTTCGTGACTTCTTTCTGTCATTGTGCCCCTGTGGGAAAGTCGATTTTAAAATACTTTGCTTATCATGGGCTCCGCCTATGCATCATGCAGTGTCTGGGGTGCGGTGATCACTCCTTAAGCATCTGCGAAGTGGTCAGTGTCTTGACACCCACCTCCTCCTGCATTCCTCTAATGCTTCATTGGGAATTAGTTCTTGGGGTCGAAGTTATGCACAAATGGCCAGGGAAGGTTCCAACAGCTTCTTCTCTTGCCAGTGGTGTGTGAGAACGGCCTTTCTCGGCACCCTCGCCAACACCACACCCTGGTGATGCCGACTTTCCAGGCCTTGATCTCGCTTGTCCATACCCACTGGATGTATTTAGGCGAGCCCTCCCTCTGTACTCTCCCCTCCCCACCTTTATCTCCTTTGTGGGTTTCAGTTTTCTTATTCTCATTCGGCACTTTGTTTGTTTTGAGACAAGGACTCACTATGTCGTTCAGGCTGGTCTTAAACTCACTATGTAGCCCAAGCTAATCTCAAACTCTCAGCGATTCTCCTGCCTCAGCCTCCTGAGTGTGGGATTACAGGTGTGTGCCACCACACCCGGCTTTCAGCACTCACTTTAAATAGCACCTCCTGGAGAGGTCCTCCCTGCTGTGTGCCCTCACGCAATCCCCCAGCACTGCGTATTATGTCACCTTATTTCTTTTCACCATAGCATATCACTGTCAGATAGTTTCCTTGTGTGTTGCCTAGCTGTATTCTTTTTTTCTAGAGTGTAAGCTCCGTGGGCATAGCCTTGCTTCCCTTTTCCACACACCTCCAGACGAGTGTGCGGCATAGTGGAGTAAATGTCGGGTATTACTGGTTTTTCACTATTACCAGTGCACTAGGCAAACATGGATTTAGCATATTTTTCTGGATTGGAAACCTGGGCATCTTTTCAAGGATGAAAGTCTTTTTTGAATAGCAAACGCCAAGATGACCTAGAAGTTTAAATATTTGCAGCGTATTTGCTCCAGAGAAGCTGTACTTTCTCTCATGTATTGCTGAAAGCTGCATCCTTCCTTCAGTTTCTGAAGCCTACATTCTCACATGCTGCCAACATTAGTGTTCAGAGAGTACAACTCCTTTTCCAAAACTGGACTTAACCACTGCTGCTTTCTTTTGCCCTACAGCTCTTGGAGAGAACCAACACTGCGTTTGAAGAGTCCGATTCTGGTGCTACCAAGAGTCCACTGCACTTAGCGGTAAGCGAGAGGCCGTGGGCCGCTTTGCTGTTTCAGAGCGAATCTAAATGTCCGTACTGAGCCAGGCTGCTCACCACCTGCGAGTGTGACAGCGAGCGCTTGGTGCTAGGGAGAGCAGTGCTTGCCCAGAGGCACAGCCTGGGCAGAGGACGCCTTGCCTTCCCAGCCAGCTTCCTGGCTGCCGACCTGAGACACGTTGCCTGCCCTTCCCGCCACCCACCGTGAAATGAGGGCAAAGGAGGAGAAACTGCACAGAAAGTCTCTGCCATGGTGTACCTCATGGACTTGTTATACATTTTAACACCTTTAAAATTCACAGAAAACATTTCACTTCAAGAAGTTTGATTATAGGGCTGGAGATGTAGCTCCGTGGTACAAGCACCTGCCTGGCAACCACAAGGTCCAGAGTTTGATATCACCCCCCCCAAAAAAAAAGTTTGATTATAGGCGCTGTGCAAAGGTCAAACCTATAGGTAATTAACTGTGACATTTTTAAATACACAAGTGTTGGCATTGTTAAGCACAGACTTGCTGGAGGGAGGTGGGTGGGTGAGGCACTGCAGCTGTGCTTGGGCATCCGGGTCCCGGAGGAGGCTGTGGGCTCCCGCACTTGTGCTGGTGACGCCTGGAGGGCACAGGAGGAGGAGCTGCCTGAGCGCCCGAGCAGCTTCCTCTCCACATCCCGGTGACCCAGGGGAAGTGTGGCAGCTCCATGGTAACCTCAGACTCCTCACGGGGACCAGGTGGGACGCGCTCCTCATCTGCCCAGGGGCATCCCGCTGATGGTGATCAGCAGCTGTCCCACCAGAGCCACACCCAGCCACAGACGCCCACCCGGCCCGGGTGCTGCTGAACTGCAGGCACAGAGGTGGTGCTGGGATGCTCCCTTGCTTGGCAGAACCCAGGGCAGGATCCTGGGAAGGACGGAGGGGGGCTGGTCTACACTTACCTGTCGCGATATTTCATGCCATGCACGTGCAAGTGCTTCAGTGTTGTCCTGATGACGGACTAAGAGGCGGAGTCTGGGAGGGCAGAGCTGTACGAACAGGCATTCAGGGGCATCCTCACAGGGTGAGGGGAGACAGGCCTCTCACAGAGGTCAGGGGCGCCCAGGACCCTCCTGTCACCTCGACCCTCCTTCACTGTAAACCTGGCTCCCCACGGGCTCCCCAGCGCACCAGCGACCCCCCAGCACAGCTACTGCACACAGTGCACGCACACACACCTGTCAACGCCGTGAAACCTTCACCTGTGCTCCCTCCCGTGGACCTGGAGGGAGCGGGTGTAGGGGGATGTCTGTACGTGGAAGGCTTCCCACCGCTGCCCCGCAGAATCCCTGCCCAGCCTCCTCTGTGTCTGGGACCTGCCCCAGAGGCGAAAGTCCCCACACGCAGCCCTGGGTCCCGGAAGAGGCCTGGGTGGGGGTTGTTTTGGACAGTTCTCTGCCCTTCCAAAGTAGGGTTGGTTGGAGAAGACTTTCTTGGCTTCCAAAATTTCTGTCATCTTTCATTGCTTTTCTCCCCAAAGGTACCTGTTGAGTGCTTACTGTGTGCCAGACACCTTGCAGGGCTGTGTGGGGCTGTAGTCCTGTAAAGATGGGGTGGTGACAGCGGGGGAGCGATTGGGCTGTGGTGGCTCTGCGGTCAGCAGGGCCAAGGAACAACACAGGGAGGCCCAGCGGCCATTCCTGTCACTAACGCCTCGCCTGGACGTGGTTCCCCCACCTGCAGACAAGAGGTATGAATTAGCGAAGGATGCTAAAGCGCCTATCTGTCCATTGTGTCATCCTGGCCAGGCTGCTAGCCACTTGTGTTGGTTTCCACACCCACAATAGGAAGAGGACAGAAGTCCCCTGTGAGAGGGATGGCCTGTGTCCATGCCCATGAAGCACCTAGCACAGCACTCAGGCCACACAGGCACAGCCAGCCGGCTTCATCCCGCCATTCCTAATGTGGACAGCACCCTTAAGTTCTGCGTCTGCCTACGTGCTCTCCCGGGCACAGGAGAAACCACGGGAAAGGAGAGCTGGCCGCTGTCCTCGTAGTTTCTCATCGGCACAACGTGACAGATGGCAGTGACTGCCACAGCCAAAGACGAGGTGGGACCTGTGAGACAGAGAGCCGAGGGAGCCGAGGTGCTCTTTGGCCAGCGTGGAGCCTCACCTTTGGGGGCCCCCATCCAAGTCTGGCAGAAGAGGATGGAGGGCACAGGCGCAGCGAACCGTGCTCCCGGTGGGCTTGGCACGGCCACAGGACGGCAAGGAGGCCTCTGGGTCAGGCAGGGTGGCAGGAGGGCTGTGACACGCTGCAGAGGGACTTCAGAGGGGGCAGCAGCACTGGCCTTACAGGGCCCTGCAGTCCTGTGGAAGAACTTTGCATTTTACTCTGAGCAAAGCAGAAAGCCACTGGGCAGTTCTGAGGAGATACATGACATGATCAGACTTGTGCGTCAAGGGGTCACCTTAACGTCTGCGCTAAATTCCAAGGGCGCGAACTCAGAAGCAAGGCAGCCCGGAGAGAGCCAGCTGATGACTCGGCCAGGGGAACGACAGTGGCTGTGGTCTAAAATTGTTTGAGTTTTCCCCCCTGAGTGCTCACATGTTTCTCAAATGGTTTCAAGAAGCCTATAAGTGTGCCCTTCCCGGGGCCTCGATGGCAATTACTATGGTGAAACTAGGGCCCAGGCAGAAGCATTTTGGCAGGGAAGTGGAGGCGGGCACCTCAAACCCAAGGCTGCGAGAGGCCCCACCTGCCCGCAGTTACTTATTTCCTGGCTCAGTGATTCTGGTCTCCAGAGTTACCAGCCTAGTAAATTTCATCAGCATCTCCTCCACATGAAAAAATTAAATTAAGAAACAAGGTCATGCAAATGAAAGCCTCCAGCTGTCGAGATTTCCACACGGACCCCTGAGAATGCATGGATTCCGCTGAGATCCTCACTCTGTCCCCTCATTGCCCTTGGTCCTATCTAAAAAGGATTGGCGAAACCATCATGGTGAGACATTTAAGATACGGAATGAGATGTTTTTGGAGAGGTGTTTATTAGAATATTGTGTAAGTGTGCTGGGGATCCCCGGGGAAGTCTCTGTCCATAATGAGCACCCACTGCGAGCCAGAGTAAAGGGAGAAAAGAGTAGAACTCTACAGGCGCCCTGGCTTTCCGGCGTCCTAGGCTTAAGAGCATTTCCAAGGACCTGGTATGGAAGAAAGGAGAGGCTGGCATTCCAAAGCTGTCCTAATTAGCAGGGTTCCATTCGTTTTAATACTACACCTCCTTAACTGAAACACAGCGAATGGACTTCTGTTATGAGGATTGCGGCGGGGAGTGGGGAGCCCAGGGATCTGTTGCTTGGGATAAGTTTGTAAGTCAGCACCTAGCAAGCGTCCTGGGAAGGGACGGTTGTTCCGCCCAGTGCTGACCCCTTCCTTCCGGCTCTTTCCTGCCCTCTTCTCCTTCCCCGGGTGTCTTCTCTTCATTAAACCTAAATATGTGAACCGTCGCACTTTGTCTAGATGCCTGTGTCGTAAGCTGCCAGTTCCATTCTCCCAAGTCCCATTAACAGAGAGTAAGCTGTCTGCTGTCCTGGTCATAGTAGTCTCGCCTCTGCAGATAGCATCTCGAGCTGCTCTGTCCGCAGGAGCTCGTTCCCTACCGCGTGGATTCATGATTTCTCTATAAGCTAAGTCAGTGACTAGCGGAAAAATTGAAAATGGGCAGAAATGTTACGCAAAGTCAGTTTTCAAATGAGAAGAGATTCAAGCTGCGAGTGCAGTACAGGAGACTGATTCACACCTCGATGTAGATGCTTCTGGTGCCGCAGCCCTATCCATCCATGAGGCTAGGTTTCCAGACTGCCTTTAAATCAGCTATGGCTGCACCTGGGGGAAGGGTACATGGGAATTTGTTAAACCATCTTCCCTTCTTTGTAGATGTTTGAGATTTCCCACCATGAGAAGTTAAGGCACCGTGTACTGATGGCTGTATTGTGCCTTTTCATATTTGCTCCTAAAAGCCCACAACTCAGGCTGCTCCCTTCTGAACCCCAGCTCCCCACGCGAGGCCAGGTGACCACAGCAGAGCTGTGTCCTTGTCAGCAGATGACAACGAGTTTTCCCCGCGCGGACTCCCCTGACAATTAAGTGAGGCAACACACGTCCAAGGTGACACATGCCCTTTCACCCAGCAAGTAGTCAGGAAAAGGTGGCTACTGCTTCAGAGTTTAGGATAGAGTAAAGGCTTCCTGCCCCACACGGGAGGGCGCAGCAGGTACATGGGGGTGACTGCAGATACGGTGAGGCCAGGCGTGGAGGCGCACATCTGTAATCCCAGCACTGAGGAAGCTGAAGCAGGAGGATCGCTGCAAGTTTGAGGCCAACTTGAGCTGCAAAGTGAGTTCAATGCCAGCCTGAACTGCATAGCGAAACCCTGACTCAAAAAGACCAAAAAAAGAAAAAACTAAGTTGAGTGCTGAAATTTTAAAAAATTATTATGCAGAAATCCACATTACCGTGAATCCCTCTCAAGTACTCCCCCGCCTTTCCAACACCATCACTCCATCACTCTCGCCACTTTCTGAAGCAGCTCTGACATTCTCTCTCATGAGTGCCTGTAGTTGCGCTGTCATGGCTGCCTTGATGTCCTGAGTCCATTCAAAACATTTCTCTTTCATGGTCATTTTGACTTAAGCAAGAGCCAGAATTCACACTGTGCCAGATCCAGGAAATACAGTAGATGTTTTGGCGAGCCTGCCTTTCTGTTGGACGACACTCAGCGGCAGCACTCACTGTATTTTTTATCACACTTCGTAAAGACACTCTTGAATGAGTACTTCCAGAACTGCTTCTGAGCATGGCAACAAGGATGGGATAAGTGTATTTGAAGCCAAGGGGAGGATTTTGAGAGGGATTCATGGTAATGTGTTCTTTACTGTAATAAATTTTTAAAACTGAAACATTCACCATTTATTCCGATCACCCCCTGTAGCTCTGAAAAGCAGATGTAAGGAACTGATTTTCCTATCACAGGAGAGGCCACGTGTACAGTAAAGGCACAGAAGTCAGAAGTTAATCCCTCCCAGGCACCTTTTTGCTTCAGAGCCCTGTTCACAGCATTTCACCTCTGTGCTGAGCTGTCTGCAGAAGGGGCTTAGGTTTTGACTCAATATTTCATCCTTTGTTCTATTATGTGTAAACACAAAATTATTTAGTTTTAAAATTGTTTAAATGGAATTACAGAGAAAAAGTGAGTGCCTAATTTATAAGTTTTGGGTGATTCATCATGGGCTCAGGATTGCAAGTTCAAGGCCAGCATTGGCAACACAGCAAGACCTTGTCTCAGAAAAATAAAAACTGCTGCCTAGGAAACATATTTCTATCACTAATAGGATAAGTGATCATCAGATAATTGCTGAATGCCTACAATGGGCCAAGCATGGTCTTAGGATATTGCAGCCCATGCAGAGTCCCTTCAATCACAGACAAAAACGAAATCAACACATACGTAACAATAATATCAGGGGCTGAGTGCCGTGAGGACAGGGGAGAGCAGGCTGAGAGGGGAGAGTGGCGTGGACAGTTATAGAGAGCCCTTCCCAGTCCTCGCCTTGCTCCCGGAAGTTTATATCTGTAATCCCAAGGGAAAGTTACTGGAATTCCAGCGAGTTAATCCCGATCTACCACTTCCAGTGCAACCCACCGCATAAAGACACAAATATACATCCAAGATGCTGGGGAGACAAGGGGGTCCTGAGTCCAGCTAGAATGATGGCTAACGGAACAGAGGCCTCGGCCTAGGGCCGAACCCAGGTTTTATGGATTCACCATGAGGGAAGTGGCTCGGGGGTGAGGGACTGTGAGAGTGGCGGGAAGCAGGTGAGTGCTGTGAGCCGCGCTGGGTAGGAGGCCTGAAATCACCTCTGCAATATGCAGAGAGAAGGATGTGCAGAAAGGGTAATCTGCATAGCACAAGTGAGCTAGTATCCAATGTTTTGGTGTCAGTGCCTCAGCTCTGATGTGTAGTATTTTATGCCCTTGGAAGTCATAGTCTCTTACCTTGAGGCTCATCCCAGTGTGGAGCATGGCTCTCCTTCCTGTCTGCTCACACATGCTTCTTGGGAGCTGTTGGGGGTGGGGGGCAACACTGCCCTGTCCCCTTGCTTCAAAGACTACACATCAGCACCTTGGCTGGACCGATCTGCATTGCTTAAAGCCAATTGAAGAGATAAGGAAAAGTTCCAGCCAGCTCTGCGCACATCAGTACGTGGAAACGTGGCCAGGTTTAGTCCAGATGGAGATGACTGCTCTTCTTTCAAGGAGAGCCATCCAGGTGTCCTCCACAGAGAGTGAGGGCCATTTCACAGAGGCTGCCCTGGGGAGCCACCCTGGGAAAGGGTGTTTGAGAAGTCCCAGGCAAGCCATCCTGGCTGGGCAGAGCCTTCCAGGCAGAGGGGGAAGAGCCGCCCGGCTGGGTGTGGCTGCATCCGAGTCAGGGGAGGCCCCACTGCTGAGGGCCCGACTGCTCGGAAGCTCTGCACTGTGTCACCCAGGAGGGAAGACACTATCGGCTTCCCTTAAGCAAGCAGTGCGTGATCCAAGCTGGGTCTTGCAAGGTTTCATGGGGTTGCTGGCCCAGCAATAATTCCCAGGGAGCAAGGCTGGGAGGGGATGCTTTTGTGGTGAGAAGCTGCTGACTCTGGACAGATTGTAAAGGAAGAGTAGAGACCGTGAGTAGAGGTCTTGGAAGTGGCGTGGGGAGTCCACTGCTGGCTGCACGACGCCTCTGTGTGAGCTGGACAGGGACGCAGATCACTGCCCTCCAGGGCGGGACATGAAAACATGGGGGAGAGTTTCCAGCACCACCTGCCCCCCGGTCCTGGAAGCATGTTCAGAGCGATCGACTTGGGCTCAAGAGGAGGTAAGACAAGGATGACGCCACGGTTTGAGGCCTGCGCACCTGGAATAGTCTTCCCTGAGACGGCTGCAGACAGGGCAGGTTTGGGGAAGCAAAGTCAGAAGTCAGGATAGAAAGCCTGCGGGACGCTTAGGTGGAAAACCAAGAGGTCATTGGAGATGCAGATCTAGACGGGAGTCATTAGCACATGGGTCACTGCAGTACATGCTCTGTAGAATGCAGAGGTTTTATATGTAAAATGGCCCTGAGCGTTAACAAAAAAAGTCACAAGAATTTTTAAAAATGTATTAGTACTCTAACTCCTATTGATTCTTTTAAATCTAGCTTTTGTTGTTAGCGTATACTCAGGGGAAAATATTTGAATCACTTTAAAAAGATAAGATGAAAAAAGTCCATATGTCTTTCTCCTTGTTCAAGGCAAAGCATTACTAATATGTTCTTCTGTATCCTTGTAAAATTTTCTGTGAATATAAAAATATATATAAGAATAGATGTGTGTGCGTGTACATGCATATTTGCTGTTGATATCAATGAGGTCAAGCTATGTATGCTGCCTGCACCTGAGCTCCTTTTTAAACATCTTTGATAGATACTGTCAAATCACCCTCCACGAATGTCACACCCGTCTGCACTCCCACCAACACTTATCAGATTGCTTTGTTCACAGTTGTAACTAATATTAGATGGGACCCAACTTTCTAATTATTGCCAATCTGGGAGTTGAAAAATAGTACTTGAAAATTCTACATAGTTCTTCTTTGTGTCTGTTGGCTTTTTTATACCCTTGACACTTTTTCCTAGTTTCAAAATGGCTTCTAAGAGCTCTTTTTATATTAAGGAAATTAATCCTTTGTGCAAAGCCTTTTTTCAAATAAACTGAAACTTGAATCACAGCTACAGTGAAAAATTAAATATGCAGGGGACTTTGCCAGAGGCCTGGGGACAGGCTTTTCCTGTCTGTTTCTTTCTTTACCCTCCTTCCAACCCATTTTCTCCCCTTTTATTTTCAGGGTGCTCTTCCGTGTGTGTGTCTGTGCGCACACGCACCTGTGTGTGTAGGGGGTGTATGGTGGGTGTGTTGGGGCAAGCTTATAGTATTTTTTACCTCACAGATGGAATAAAAATCATCTTTCAGGCTTTCAGTCTTGTTTTTTAGTGACATGGAGAGGGGTCCTAACGTAGCACCTCATGATAGATCTGTGCATACGTGGCGTATATTACAACTCAGCCTCTGGCTTCATTAGAATCAGTGGAAGAAATAAAGGAGGGAAGGAAAAGCATCAGCTACACACGAGATGTGGCACAAAGCCTGTGTAGCACGTCTCTTTTCCTCCCAGCAACCCTGGGAGGCAGCTCTATGGCTCCCATTGTATCCGCAGGGACACGGATGCTCAGTGCCGTCAAGACTCCCGGGGAAGGTCACGCGGTTAGTCAGCCACGTGCTGGGCTGCAAAGGAAGGCTCCCCTGCCTCTGTTGTCCCCCAGAGTCAGTGATGGCTTCAGCAATGGCGTTCCCTAGTTTTGCTAACAGAAAAGCCTCCTGGAAAGTCCCCCATGTTATTGTTTGATATGCAGTTAGGACTGAATGGACACCGGCAGAGGGATGTGTTAATTCATGCAGCTGTTTGTCTGTATTAGATGATTCAATTGATGGATAGAAATATAAAAATATATGAATGAAACGAGTGCACTGGAGCAAATTATCTGACAAAACAGAAAGAACATGAAGAAATTCACTATGCAATTGTGAGGTTTGGGAATGGTGGTTTTCAGTCTAACACTCTTCTTGCCTGTTGTCAGCAGTGAGTCTATGTCCGTTTTTTTTGAGACAGGGTCTTGCTGTGCAGTTCAGGCTGACCTCGAACTCACAGTGATCCTCCTGCCTCAGCCTTCTGAGTGCTGGGATCACAGGCGTGCGCTACGCCCGGCTGTCAGGTGTCTTTCCGGTTGTGCCCTTGGGAGCGTTCTCTTTCGTGGCCTGAGAAGCCCAGCCTCCTGTGCACTGCTGCGTGGGCACACTCGTGTGCCCGGCTCACTGCCTTCTCCCCCGCAGGCCTACAATGGGCACCATCAAGCCTTGGAAGTCCTCCTGCAGACACTGGTGGACCTGGACATCAGGGACGAGAAAGGCCGCACCGCCCTGGACCTGGCCGCCTTCAAGGGGCACACAGAGTGTGTGGAAGCTCTTGTCAACCAGGGCGCCTCCATCTTTGTGAAAGACAGCGTGACCAAGAGAACCCCTCTGCATGCCTCAGGTAGGTCTGGCCCTGGCTGCGTTTCCCTGCCTCCCTGTTCTTTAAGTACCTGTTTTCTTCACACTGCATTCATGACACGCTTCCATCATGCCTCTGACCACCTCCCTCCCTTGGGCGGGGACTGGTGTTGCCTTTGGCCAAATGCCCTCAGCCTTCTTCTCCACTCAGGAGAGAGCTCAGAGCCTCTGGCTAACGACTTCAGCGAAACTTTCCGAACAAAGGGCACGCTTGTCCATGGACCAGACCTCGTGCCATTAAAGTGAAGCGTGAGTGGTGTTTCAGGTCTGTTTCGTGTGAGGGATCCTGTCAGCACATCATCCTGCCAGCCTAACTCACGCTCTTAGCTTTGGCTCTGATTCCTCGTGCATCAGATGCAAAAACAGAGATTTTTTTTTTGGAACCAGGAATCGAACCTAAGACCTTGAGCTTGCCAGACAGGTGCCGTGCCACTGAGCTATATCCCTGGCCCAAAAATAGAGATCTTTAAAAAATATTTGGATATAGAAAAAGTTCAGTAATTTCTCTTTTCTGGGATTTTCCTCCAGTGCATATGAAAAACTACCTAAAGACACTTGTAGATGTAGAAACAGGTATAGAGGTAACCTCGAAGAGTTTCTGGTTCAGCTGAGGTGTAAATACCTTTGGGCCCAGGAAATCCGAGGCTGTCAGCCTTTGAGGAGGGAGTTGGTAGTGTTTGTAAAGACAAATAACTGTCTAACAGCGATCCTGCCTTCGAGCCCGCCGACCGTGGACTGAAATTTCGTCACTGACACACACAGTGAAATACGGTTGCATTGAGAAGCAAAAGAGTGAGAACAGTTTTCAAAAAGACTTTGTGATTCTTGTAACTTTTGAGAAATCTTTCTAGGAATGATAGATCTTGTAGCAGTATTTCCGTCTGCATTCCTTTTCTTAAAAGCCACAGAAGAGATACAATGCAAAGATTAAAAACACACACACACACACAACCTGGCTTTTGCCTGACTGCCTAGAAGTGATTGTTGCTGGAAAGAAACTTTAGCCATGAGGTCAGAGTGGTTGCTGTGACTGAATTATAAATTCTCATTTCCTATCATATGGAATCCTTTCGCTCCATAGGCATTCTTGATATTATTATAAAGTTCAAATTTGTTCTCCCTTTTTAAGATTCGTTGCCCATCCCTAAGGAAGTCACTCTGCTTTGTGGCCGGTGACTCCTGACTGTTGCCCAGGGCCTGTCTGGGTGTGGAGACCGCCCTTGCCAACAGGTGAACAATGAGGAACTGTCACTGTCACGTATTTGCCACTGTGATGTAGGTGTGGTCCCAGGGCGCCTCCTGGTGGCCGAGAGGTCTCACTCTGTGTGGCTGTCCGAGAGCCATTCATGAAAAAGACGGCTGTCCTTGACTTCACAAAATGTCTGCTCTGCGAGGCTGTGGCCTACGATTTGAGGATGTGCTTACCCAGCATCTTCTTCAGGGGATTTGTGAGGCCAATTTCACTGTCTCAAGCCCTTGGAGACTGGGGAACAGCAGCCGGGATGGAGGTTAGGGGGTGGGCACAGAAGGATATGGGGGCAGTCACAGGACAGTCGCAGGGAGTCACAGGGCTGTCACTCGGCCAGGGAAGGCTGAGTTTGAGACAAAGCTGGCCTGGCAGGGCACAGCTAGAGGTGTGACATCTTTCTGCTGGAAGTCAGCTGCGGGGAAAGCCAATGAGAATTTAAATTTGGCTACACTTCTACTCTAAGGGGAATTTAAATCTTCCAGAGTGCTGTTAGCTAAGTTCAGAAAGCTACTGTCGAAAAAGAACGTAATTACAGAAATCATTTTGCTGCCCAATACAGTAGGTGAGTGACATAAACTTAGATGATTTCTTTCTCCTTACGTTTAGCCAAAAATCAAATAGCTTTGGAACTATTGTAATTATGAGCATTTAAAGACTACCACATTGATACAGAAGGAGGAGTTGGTCCAGACACACTTCCTCCTCCTTTATAACCATACCACCAGGACTGGTTAGCCGTCAGTCTTTCCATAGTTATTTCCGTGCAGGCATACATTAAACTCTGCACATTCCAACAGTGGTAGCAGACTCAGTACAATTTTAAAACAAAAAAATACAAAACAAAGGCAGCGATCACATCTCACCTATAACTCCAACCCGCAAAGTTTCCTCCTGAGAGGAGCTGCCTCAGTGGAACATTGCTGAGAACGAGCTGAAAGCACCTGCGAAGTGGGGCCACTGTCCTGTCTTCATCTGAGCGGTGGGAGAACGTGGCTACTCCTAACACCTCCCATCCCCAGCAAACCGCGCGGATGAGGTGGGCGTTCCCGCAGGCCTGGTGAGCGGGGAAAACGACCGTGCCGCGCAGCGTGGGAAGAGCTTTGTTGGCCTGGCTCAGCCACGTCTGTGCCCTGCTCGCGCCACGGCCACGGCCAGGGCATCAGCTGTGGCCCTGCTCAGAGACGAGAGTGGTCACGCCTGGAGTTGTGGGGTGCTTGTTCTCCCTTGCCCCCAGTGGGCAGCGCGGCCCGTGGGGAGGTTTTTGGAGGGTCCACTGGAGGAAGGTGCCTTCCTCGGCCCAGGGGTCAACACTGGGATGTCCGTACCCCCCCACCAAAGAAGCCTTGTCCTGGGTGCACACTGGGGCCTCAGGGACACTGCACTCAGGCCCCATTTCCTGTCCACTTCCGAGGCCGCCGATCAGGAGGGGGCTGGCAGAAGGACACCTGACCCAGCTCGAGGAGGGGAAGAGGAGAGAGGAGAGGAGAAGGAAGTAGAGAAGAGGGAAGGAAAGGAGAAGGGAAGAGGAGGACAGAGGAGGAGGGGAGAGGAGAGGAGGGCAGGAGTGGGAGCTTCGCTTGCAGCAGCCTGGAGGTCCTGCGGGGGGAGGGTAGCACAGTCTGCGGGACACCGGGACACCGCGGGGCACGGTCCCCGCGTCTCCCGAGGGTCAGGGTCGTCGCCAGTGAGCCGTGTGCCTGTGGGTCATGGGCACCTGTGTGGCTCCACGTTCTGCTTTACACCACCGCTGATCAGTGAGAACGTGGCTGCAGGACAGGAAGAAGAGGCAGGCCTGTCCCGCTCCCTTCTCCCCACCCCTTCGTCCCTCTGCCCCGCCCCTCCCAGACTGTCCCCGGTCCCTTCTGTCTCCTCCTTGAAAGGGGCTGGAGGAAGAAGGCACGCGGGAGTCATGGAGGTGCACGACTCCCTTAGAGGAGCAGGAGGGGCTGACAAGCGAGGACACCCATCAGCCCGCTGCAGTGATGAGAAAGGACGTCACCTTCCAGGAAAGCTCCCTCCCAGGGCAGCGGGAGGCGGGTGACGCTCAGCAGGCCCTGGGAGGAAGAAAGAGGGAGAGGCCAGTTCACGGGGCCTGCAAACCCGGGCACCTGCCGGCAGCGGCGGTCACAGCCGCGCGGTCCCTCTGGTTGGGCGGTGTGCGCCGGCCCGCTAAAGAGAATGTCCGTTATTTTCGTTTTCAGTTATCAACGGACACACCCTGTGTTTGCGGCTGTTGCTAGAAATCGCGGACAACCCGGAAGTGGTGGACGTGAAAGATGCCAAAGGACAGTAAGTGATCTCGCGCCGCCCTCGGGCTGACGTTTCGGTAGCCAGGGAGAGGGGCTGGGTGGTGGGGCCCTGCCGAGGCCGACTGCTGAGATCGGGGGTGCGGGTGGGGCCAGGGCCCCGGCAAGGGCCCGAGGACGCAGGGCCAGAGCAGGTGCAGGAAACGCTGCAGGGGTGGCCGTGAGCGTCTGGAGGAAGAGTCACTTTCTTCTGGCTGTGGCCGTGGCTCCCGGCCCTTTTTTATGTTCCCTTTTGTTCCCCTTCTTCACGTCTTTGTCCTCTCCTGAAGCTTTTAAATTCCCCTTTTAAATTAATAACGCAATGGGACAGGCTCTAAGACTCCAGCACTAAAAGTCCTTCCAACTTTTATCCCTTCCTTGGGCTTGACTTTTCAACGCATTTTCCGTCTTTTCGCTGTTCTCTACCCCACAGTCTCACATTCCCGACTTACCGTCAGGAAGTCCAGGGTGGACACTAGCGACCGCCCAGGTGCACAGGCGTGTGCAGCCCGGCCCTGCACCCGACCTGAGATCCCCGCTGCATCCTCTCCCCCGAGCTGTGCGCTGTTCTGCAGGGCGCGGGGTCTCACTCAGATCAAGTCCTGGGCAAGAGTCCGGCGTGCGGTGCTGTGTGCTCGGGCCGCCCTGCATGCACACTGCCTGCCCACGACCCGAGTCAGTGCCACAGAGCGCTGGAAATGACGGATTAGCAGGGGTGCTTGGACAGGGAGCCCCCCCTGGGCCACCCTGTGGCTTGTCCCACAGCACCCTTAGAATGGGTGCCTGGGTCCTGCCGCAAGTCAGGATGCAGAAGATCAAAAGGGAGCGATCTCCCACTGGAGTATTTTTCAGATTTCCCCAGAAGCCTGTGTGTCTCTCTCCCTAGAACGCCTCTGATGCTTGCCGTTGCATACGGACACGTCGACGCAGTCTCACTGCTCCTGGAGAAGGAGGCAAACGTGGATGCTGTGGACATCATGGGGTGCACAGCCCTACACCGAGGGGTACGTGCTGCTCTCCCCTTGCCTCACCCAAGCTTGCTTCTGCTCGCTCCCTATGTGAATTTTTAGGCAAAAAAAAAAAGTGGTTTCACCAGCCAGCCAGCCCGCCTCAGCCAGTCAGAAAGGAAGGCAGTGGCAGCGGTCCCTGCAGAAGGCAGAACTGGACAGCACCCGCAGGCCCTGCTCCTGGGGTCCCGCGCTGCCTGAGAACAGAAGCATGTGGGCGCCTGCTGTGGGTGGGGCCGGCTCTGCTTTCTGATTGCAGGGTGCATGTGTGTTATGTGCATTATGGAGAATTTGCAAAACGACGTTTTAAAAGCACGGAGGAAGAAAATTGCAATCACCAGCAATCATACCCCCTGGAGATAATGGCTTTTGGTGTGTGTGTATCTCCATTCTCTTTGTGCATGGATCTGCTTTAAGCTTCCAAAAAAAGAACACTGAAGATTCTATTTGGAACCTGTTTTTTTTTTCTCTCATTATAAATCAAAGGTCTTTTCTCCATAGCATGAAGTATTTTTTCTGCACTGTCACTTCTAATGCTCCTCTAATGTACAGGTATCAATTCGCCTCGGTGGAGACCTGGTTTTGAGTTTTTGTTCCCTCCTTCCTCCCTCCTTTCCTTCCTCCCTCCTTTCCTTCTTCCTTCCTGTTTTCTTTTCTCCTCCCTCCCCTTCTCTGTTGTTTCTTTCCTTCCTCTCCCTGTCCCTCCTTCCTCCTTTCTTTCCTTCCTTCCCTCCTTCCTTTTTTTCTCCCCCTCTCTTCCTCCCTCCCTTCTTTTTTTTTTTTCAGTACTGGAAATTGAACCCAGGGTTTGCACTGAGCTACCTCCCCAGCTGTTTTTATTTTTTATTTTGAGGCTGCATCTCACTAAATTCCCCCAGCGGGGCTCGAACTTGTGACCCTGCTGCCTCCGCCTCCTGGAGTGCTCATTGCGCTGTCTCTAATTGTTGTGTATTACAAATGACGCCAAAGTACGTATTCTATGGCAAGTCTGCGTATTTATCTGTTGAACTATTTTTAAAACATGTCAAAGAAACTAAAGGCAGAAGTGAAATTGCTCTTTGGGGACAATATGTGAGAGCGAGAGGAGCTTTGCGAGGTCCTTGTCACAACCCTGGTTGCTGCTCCGTAGGCGCATCCTGTGAGCCGAGCCGCAGGCCGGGGCCCAGACGCGTGCGTGCCGCGTAAAGGCCTTTCGTACGCAGCGATGGCCTCACGCGCTACCGCGGAGTGAGATGTTCCCGACCCCTGGCATTTTTGCTGTACCTTTTCTGGTGGGCTCTTCAGGCACACAAGTCCTTGGTGCTGTGTCACGGAGCCTGCCGTCCTCAGGACGGCGACTGGCTGCACCTGCTGGACACAGAGCCGGGGTGTCCCGGGCTGTGCCTTCCGGCCTGTGTCAAGTCGTGTCTACATGACACGACTCCAGCACACGCCCAGCTTTGGGGCCTCATGTGTCCTTCCCAGCTGCTAGGAAGTGAGAGGTGGCGCGTGTTGAGGGGCGGGGGAGGGCAGGACTTTCTCCTGTCTTCCTGAGTCTAAAGCCCGCACGTTCTACAGCGTCGTGGTACCACCGCGGCTGTGTCTGCAGTCAGTGACGTTGCCTTGGCGCCGGCATCCTCAGACTTCCCCGCCGGGAGGCTCCCCAGGGATGTCCTGTCCCCAGCCCCGGCTCTGCCCCGAGTCAGCCCCCTCTGAAGTCTCCCTGTGCTTCTCGCCACGCCCAGATCATGACGGGACACGAGGAGTGTGTGCAGATGCTGCTGGAGCAGGAGGTGTCGGTGCTCTGCAGGGACTTCCGGGGGCGGACGCCCTTGCACTATGCCGCTGCCCGGGGCCACGCCACGTGGCTGAGCGAGCTGCTGCAGCTGGCCCTGGCCGAGGAGGACTGCTGCCTGCGGGACAGCCAGGGCTACACGCCCCTGCACTGGGCCTGCTACAACGGTGAGTCCTGCCCGACACACGGGCCCCAGGCATTCCGCGGTGTCCAGGCTGCCCGAGGGCAGGGCCCTGGGCGCTGTCAGGTTGGCTGGTCTGTCGCTTGGCTTCCTGCCTCCCCGTCACCCATACCTTAACCCTGTGGTTAATCAGTAACATCTAAGTCCTCGTCAGAGCTTACAGCCCTGCGTGGGGCATCGGCCTCTGATCCGGCAGAATGTTTTCTTCAGCCAGAGTCCTGCGTGTTTTTGTTCATTTTAATGTTATACTGCATCACCCTACGAAAAGGGTATCGTCATTCCTCCACCGAACATGCAGAGATGAGAATTCTTTCCCACAGTTTTGCCAGCCTGGAGTGGTATCAGTTTGAAAGCTTGGAAAGGTATCTCATAGTGTCAACGTGCATTTTCCTATCTAGTAGCATAGTTTTTGGCTATTTGTGTTTCCTCTGGAAATTACTTTTCTTCCTTGCTCACCATTTTCCTGCTGAGTTGTTTGTCTTCTCTCCCGGGTGGAGAGGACGACCAGGCCTTGGCACTGTGAGCCTCCTGTGCATTGCAGGCGTTTCTGTTCCCGTGCACGGTGTCTTTTCCACGCAGACATTTGGAGCTCAGACGTAGTGGAATCAGTCAGCTCTGTCTTTCCTGGTGTCCAGCTCCCAGTCCTGCTTCAGAAGGTCTCCTCCCCATCGGATTATATATGTATTTCTCCGTATATGCGTCTCACTCTGAGTTTATTCGTCCATTTTAAATTCTATTAAAAGCTTTAAGTTGGAAACTGTGGATATTAATTCTAGGAAACGTTTTGATTTAAGGCCTTGCCTTGAATTTCATTGATTCTTCTTTTTCATTGATTCTGCCTTGACAAGAGGAGCCAAATTGTCTACTTATTCTTGACCTTGCTTCCTCCCCAGCACTGGGAGAGGGTGATTTTTTACCTAAAATGGGCCAGGGCCCTCTTGCCCCTTTACTGTAAAGCCATGACCTCGCTGGTTATGGAGAACCTGTGGGAGAAGGGTGCTGTGAGACCTGCCGTAGGCCACCTCCTGCCCGGGCATGGATGGGGTCCGTCCGTCCCCAGGGCTCTTAGGACAGCAGGGGCAGAGGGGCAGCCCTGTCCCGAGCAGTTCCTCCTGCCAGGAGCCTCCTCCAGCTCCGAGGTCCCCACTCGCATCTCAGAACCCCCTCATTGGAAACAGTGAGGTTGATCAGTAACGGAGTTCAGTAACCCCAGCCCGCCTGCACGGACTCGGCGTGGATTCCCGGGCCCCCACCCTCCGAGTCGTGCGTGCAGATGCTGCACAGAGCCGGGTCCTTTGGGGGATTCATACTAATGAGGGATGCCGGGTGCAGAGACCCTGTCACCCGCCTGCTAGGGGCTGCTTGTGCGCATTCCTTCCGGGATTCTCCATCCTCCTGAAAGCTGTAGCAACTGGCTCTCCAAAGAAAAGTTTTCTTTGTGTTTTAATATTTTAAGTTGCCCAGTCTTCATAATTCTGAGGTAGGTTGTAAGGGAACTTTCATTAAATTAGCTCTGAGTTCGGCCAAGAAGAGGACCCAGGACACCAGTCTGTATTCCAAAGCCAAATAGCAGCGCCTTCCTGCCTCACACGGGTACAGCGCTTCATCACCACCTCAGGTCCTTCTCGGAGTTAAAGCTCACACCGTCCTGTTATGTGGGCAGGGCGGGACTACGAGTCCAGCTTTCTATACAGACGGGAAACCGAGGCTCTCCCAAGAAAGTTGCCTCAGGCCATGTCATAAGTCCTGGGAGGTGGGACCTTTGAATTACTTAATTCAAATTCAGTTGATTGAGAAGCCAAATGTCCTTCTGTTAAAAATAATTTTTCACATCAATTCATCTATTTATTAAAAGTATTTACTGGGCACCTACTATGTGCCCAGTATTGTTTAAAACAGATAACATTTTAGAGTCAAGCCTTTCTACTTGCATCATCCCCAATACTATTCCTGCTAATCCACTTCCCCATCTCCAGGGGGTTTGTAGTGTAGGTAAAGCTCTTTGTGGGGTGACAGCTGTATTTCCTGGGGCCATCTGTACCAGCATCTCTCTATCCAGAGCTGAGCGCAATGTGGAACCCGCTCTGCTAGCCGACAAGGGGTCTTCTCCCCCACGCCATATGGCCTTCATCCTTCGGTCTGTTCATTATGCCTCCGAACACCTGTGAGCCTAGTTAATAACATTTTGGCATTTTGTTAATCTTGTCCCACAGAGAATGGATATTCAGCCAGTTCAGGAAAATTTGTAAGCTAGAATTCAACGCTGAATGAAAAAAATAAAACCAGACTGTGTGAAATAAAATGTCTTTCCTGCAAAATCTCTAAGTTCCTTTGATGCTTTGCAGGTAATGAAAGCTGTATAGAGGTACTTTTGGAGCAAAAATGTTTCCGCACGTTTGTGGGTAACCCCTTCACGCCTCTCCACTGTGCAATGTAAGTAAACGTGCCACATCAGCTCACCGTGCCATAGATAGAAACATGGCCTTTCAGGGAAGGAGAGAGCTTTCAGATTACAGCTAAGACTAAAGCACTCCATTTTGCTGCCTAAGACAAGTAGTTCTGCTAGCAAAGTGTGGTCTTGCACACTATGGATTTCCCAGGAGCTCCCTGTGACTTGCCACTGTCCCCAGGGAGGGTGGCTGAGGGGGCATTTCCCAGAGTGTACAGCTCCTGTTGTCTGCCAGATTCTGAAAATAAGCCAGGGTCCACAGCAGTCTGCTGTGCTGGTTAGAAAGACGTTTGCTCCCAGGAGGTCTCTGCACGTTTGTCACCCTCCCTCAGTGGCTTCTGACGAGTCTTGCTTTTGTGAATCTAACTGTTCCTCTGGTCTCCTGGGCGAGCCAGTGTCAGAGGGTTATTCGAGTTCTGGAAGACTCCCATGCTGGCCCTGCCCGCGACCCGAGGGCTATTTGTCTGTACGTTCTGTGGGTTTCACAGGACACTGGCCACTTGGTTGGTTGATAGCAGAAGCACAAAATAGATGACTGAGAAGGTGAGGAATCTGCATCTTTCCAGTCCTCTGTACACCTGGGTGGTGTCCTGCTGTTCGTGTGCACTGAGCTACGCGTATGCAGAGGTCCCAGAAGGATGCAGTGGACACACACCACAGATGTGTGCACCTGATTTTCTAAAAGTTCATGAGACTGTTAAATATGTGGTATCTTTTTCACTGGAGAAGGGAAAGGGAGATGAGGTAGGAGGGAACATATAAGCTCAGGGCGGTGAGCTAGGAGGGACCGTATGGCAAAGAGTGAGATTTTCATATGGAAACCATTTCCACTTTAGAATAAATGATCATGAGAGCTGTGCATCACTGCTGCTGGGGGCCATCGATTCCAGTATCGTCAGCTGCAGAGACGACAGAGGCAGGTAAGGGCCCCTGAGACATAGGCCCGGTCCTCGGGCCCTGGTCTGTGCTCTGCATTGTAGAGTAGGCAACGAGCTATCTTCCCCACTGAGAAAGTAACATCCTGTAGGAGCGTGACTTTTTCAAGTTAAATATCACGAAGGGTATATAGTTCTTTAAAATTCCCTTTCTGCTGAGAACCCCCAGCCCCTTGCATAGAGACAGCTGCTGTACTCTGTTCTCTCCAAATGCTATTTCCTCCTAAATACTTGCTGTGTGTGCCTATAAACATCTATAAATATGTACATATGTATTCTTTTTATGCAAATGAGCCACTTACAACTGTATTCTACTTTTAGTAGATCTTGGAAGTATTTCCATGCCAGCACATACATATTTACCACATTCTTTTTAGTATATGTGCTGCCAAAGTGAGCGCTACCCCATTCTTTTTAAAGCGCATATTATTTTATTGAATGGATACACTCTATTTTATTCAGTCAGTCAGCCTTCAATTGAAGAAAAATTAGGTGGCTTCCAATATTTGGCTATTTCAAAGGAGTGGCCCAGTAAACATTCTCCTCTCTGAATCTGCACACGTGATCAAGTGTATCTGGGAGATAAAGCCCTATGAGTGGAATTACTTGATTAAAAAGCCAATAGCTTTTCAGTTTGATAAATAATGCCAAATCATCCTCTCAGAGGAGTCACACGTCCATGTTAGGTTATGTGGCTTTTTAAATCTTTATTTGCTCAACCAATTACCTACAAATTTAAGGCTTAATTTTGAGTCTCCATCTCAAAGTTGAGAGAGAAGTCAAAATCAGTGCTGATTTCAATCAGGGCCGCCACAAGCTCCACCCGCACTCCAAAGCATTCTTTCTGCATGAGGACACTTCAGCGACTGCCTCGAAAGGCTTTGCCAGGGGTCTTGACCATTATTTCTGCAAACAGAGACCTTCCAAACCCTAGACAATCCACACACGTTCCTCGGGCAGTTATTAAAGAGAGAACAGGTTGAAAGGAAACTAAACCCCTACTCGCTTGACACCTCCAGAACCCCCCTGCATGCGGCAGCGTTCAGGGACCATGTGGATTGCTTGCAGCTGCTTTTGCGACACAACGCTCAGGTGAACGCCGTGGACAACGTGGGGAAGACGGCGCTGATGATGGCCGCGGAGAACGGGCAGGCGGGCGCTGTAGGTATGTGCTGACCCAGAGCCAAAGCAAGGCCGGACGGAGCAGCTGGGATTCTTGGGGCCTCCCGGGCTGGAAAAGGGTGACAGGCAGCCTTCCTTCAGCTGCTGTTTCCTCAGTCACTTCCTGTTCCGGGAACCTGGATGGGGCGGTCCTTGCCAAGCTTCCTGCCGTGAAATGTCTCAATGTTTAGAGACGAAGTGCAGTGACAGAAGTATTTTAAGTGGAAGTAGTGAAACTACAAAGACATTTGAATGCCTGTCTTGGATCTGGATGAAACAAATGGGGCAAGAAGTTGCTCCTTTTTTCTTTAAAAGCGTGAAATACAATTATGTGAGCTGTCCTGATTTAAATGTGGTTGTTTTTATGCAACTTCTTCAAAATGCATGTGATGCGCAGTGAGTCTAAGTCTCTGTCTTCTTTTCCTGTAGATATTTTGGTGAACAGCGCCCAGGCTGATCTGACTGTGAAGGATAAGGACTTGAACACACCCTTACACCTAGCTAGTAGTAAAGTATGTAAATAAATTGAAAGCACTGTTACTTAGCGTTGTGACAATACCACTGAGGACCCCTCTATTCTGGAAGTCTGTAGTGTGGTTCTTCCTGAAGGTGCACATCTTCCCAGGCTGTTGTCAACTGTGGGTGGAATCAAAGGCGGGGAGGAAAGGGAGGTCGCCAGGTTGATGAGGCAATACTTCACCAAGACAAGTGAGGAGGACACGCTGCTCGTGGCACTGTCACACTCTTGCTGCAGGCCTTCTGCACTGATGTGGCTGCTCTATCTGTCTCCTAGTGGTAGTGCCACAGCTTGGTACCGGATCACAGGTCAGGACCTTAGTTATGGGGCTTGTAGAATTAAGCAGTTCCATTCATTTTGCTTTAATGCCCTTAAAAGACAGGCATCATGATAACACAGCCCAATGTACTCTACCGTGAAACAAGCCAACATGTCCGTGTACATTTCTACCCTACTCCCTTCTTCCGCATGCACAGTCCATGCAAAGAACGTGGTTGGGTTTGGTGGTGGTGGGGGGTGGTAAAGAGATTGTGTCCCTGCTCCCATTAAAGACACTATACATGTACATGCATCCGTATATGTGCGTGTCCATCTGGTTTTATCAGAGGCATTATAGTATCATGCCAGTGGGCACCAGGGATGCTGAGTTTTATCATCATCGTTAAAATATCAGGTGTCTCCTCAACCCGGTGGCACCCAAGTCTCAGCCGTGCCTTTTTTCATTGGTGGTGTTTTCCCCCTTCATGCTCTGGGAAGCCCGTGGAAACCACGCACACACAAGCTCAGTTTCATGAAGTTCACCTCAAGTTGTAGCATTTTAGGGAACATAAGTGCAGTGTTTTCCATACTTTTTGTGCAGATGAGCCCTGTGGGGACTTTGCTAAAATATAAATCCTGACTGATTAGGCCTGGATGGGTGTGGGAGCCAGCATTTCTAACCACCAGATGATGCTGCGCTGCTTTGCTCTTGATTAGCAAGGGCTCAGGAAGCCAAGACCCCTCAAAGGGCACCAGGCTCCAAGTCGTAAAGGAGCTCTGCAATTAATTTTTTGAATTATAAACCATCGACTATCATAAGATCCAGGGGTGCTTTGTCCTGTTGAACAAGAGCAGAATGAACTTCCCTGAGACAGGGCCTCTTCGCTTGTGAGGCGGTTGGCAATGCTAAGGGAGCCCGACGGTGGGGTGTGGTGGGAATTCCAAGGGTGCACAGGTCACTGACATGGGAATTGAGGGGAGGATTAGGAGGAGGTGGGGACTTGATGGATTTTTAAAAAGTAATGTTGGAGGATTGAAGGGCCCTCCTGACTCTGCTCTTAATTTACCAGCTGACCTAGCTAAACTACCATCTGCTTTAGCTCTCTGGACATTAATTCTGAAAATGATCTTGGAAATATTCATATTAAGTATGAATATTTTAGAAAAGACTTATGTTAACCAAGTCCTAATTGGCTGTATTTAGGCACTTAGAGTATCTGGGGCCCATTTGCTTTTTAGAAAAAAAGATGCACAGAAAATAGCCTTGTAGAATGTTTTTAGACAGAACAAATTTATTTTCAATTTCAAATATAATGAAGTGATTACCCAGGAACTTTTCTGTGTCTCTGTCTCATATTTCTTATTCTTTTTTTTTATTAGGGTCATGAAAAATGTGCCTTGTTAATACTTGACAGGATACAAGATGAGAGCCTTATTAACGCCAAAAATAATGCACTGCAGACGTAAGTGTGACTGCAAAAGTTCCCCTTTGGCCTGGAGCAATTACCCAGCAGAATCTGAGACCCTTCCCCTGGTGCTGGCTTACCTCTGGGACCCAGAGGCGAGATGCCAACCCAGCTCTTCCTGGAGTGCAGCTCCACATGCCTGCCATGCTGAGAGCGAGGTGGTTGCAGTTAGAATACTTTTTTTGCTAAGTCTTTGTAAAATCTTGTGAGCTGTTTGTTTTTCTTTGCTAATATTTCTGTGGTAACATTATAAATTTAGTGAGCTGTTAGAAAGATCTTAGGGGCTCATGGAGAAAGTATTTGCATTATGTATCAGTGTTATGTATTCTGACTGGAAAACACTTTTATAAATCAGGTTCCCAGAACACATTTGAAGAGTTTCTAAAGCTATTTGTCTTAGTTGTATTTTAATGCAATTCATGTAACCCTCCATTTGAAAGATCTACAGCTTGCTTCATTTTCCATTTTAGGAAATTATTTGTGCATTTTTTAAAGAAAGGAATATTATAACTTTTCATTTAAGGTTATGGAGCAGTTTGTAGCCAAGTCTGCTGAGTGACATTATTCTATAAGGCATCACACGTTCTTGAAACACCTGAGTGCATTTAATAATCACGACGAGTTTGAGAGTATATATTAGTGCCAGTCATATTGATGGACTGTGGGAAACAAGCTACACTACAAAGAACCTTCCACAAAACACACTGGAGTTTGAATGCTCCCACTGGCTTCCTAATTCCCATCGTTTAAAACTATATGAGATGTAGAATATTTATAATACTTGCAGCAATATCTGAGTGCAGAACATAAAAACAGTCAGATCATTAACACCTGGGAAAGATCTGGTTAACATGTATTTTCTTCCAAAAGTAAATATGCATGTGTTGGATGCCTAAGTACAGCACCTCTTAGTGACACAAGCTGACCAAAGTGTCACATTATTGCTGTATTAGCTTTGCATTGCTGTATCAAATGCCTGGGAGAGTCAGCTTCAGAAGAGGGTGGGTTTGCTTTGGCTCATGGGTTCAGAAGTGCTGGTCCGTCCCTGCTAGCTGGCACCGTGGCATGGGCTGGGGGCAGGAGCACAGCGTGGCTGGGAGCATGTGCGGGGCAGGCAAAGCTGTGCACTTGAGGCTAGGTCACTGACATGAAGATCAGGAGGGAGGGCTGGGTCCTGCCACCCCATTCAGGGGCACCGCAGGGTCCCACCTCCCAACACTGGGGACACTCGACCTCTGCGGGACAGCTCACACCCAGACTGCAGCACCCGCACCAATCGGTGTCCCGCTGACAGACACTTGGTGTCACTTTTCAGGCCTCTCCACATTGCTGCGCGCAACGGCCTGAAGGTGGTAGTGGAGGAGCTGCTGGCCAAAGGAGCCTGTGTGCTCGCTGTGGACGAAAACGGTAAGTGGAAAACGCCAGCTGTGGCCGCAGGCATCTTCCCTGTGCTGCTTGCTGCACCAGGACAGTGGGAAAGCTAGCAGCTAGTTAACAGAGCGGCAAGAATCCCCCCCTCGGGAGTCCCCGTGTGCAAGAAGCCAAGCGAGGCGAACGTGTCCTGTCTGTCCTATCGTGGATCACACTGTCTCCTGTCGCCCACCACTGCTGTCCGTTCTGCATGTTGTATCAGCAGCGGGTCCCTAACTCTTCAGCATGCTGGCGGAAGCATGTGGGGGACCCTGAAAATCCTCCCCCATCCTATGCTGAAGAGTTAGGGACCGCACACGTGCCTAGTGCATGCTCAAGGGCCCGATGGGCACTTAGATCTTCGATTGTATTTCAGTTCATTCTGAGATCAACCCTTTTTTTTTAAAGTACAGATCAGAATTCATTCCTAGCATGGAAATTTGGGGAACACAAGTAAAACATTTTTAGTGAACGTCTAGCCTTGAAGTCTCCCCTTGGCCTATATAACATTTCTTTTCTAAACCAGCTAATTCTTGTCAAAAGCTTTCTACTCTGCTTCCTAAGATGGCTGAAAACTAACACATCTGAGATGTGTACTAAAATACCACTTTAAGTACAATGCCTCTTAACCTTGGTAAGAAAAGAGGAACTTCTGGATATTTATGAATTAAGTAATTTTTTTAAATGTGGCATTAATTGTGGCATTTGATTAAAGCATTATAATGTATTAATGTAACTCAACTGCTTATTACAGGTATTGGAATTAGCAGCTCATGCCTATTTCTCAGAAGTAAGCGGCCCTACTGACATCATTAGCTAACTCTTAGTTTTGGTTCTGCAGCCCCGTGTATCCTAGCATGTTCCCCGCCCTGCCCCCAGCCTGACTCATCTAGGAAGCGCAGGCAGCCCCGTTACTCCACCTCCTTGGTCTTCCCCCCTCATCTTCCCTCGCCTTCTTGTCCCCACTACCCGCCTTCGAGTTGGCATGCAGAAGCCCACGGCTTTCCTCCAAAATGACCAGAGATCAGAATCAATTGGTTTTGCTTTCCTCCGGTATAAATCTGGGACCTGTGAGGTCTGTCCAGCCCCCAGCAGCGTCAGGAGCAAGAGTCCTGGGTCGGTGGGACATGGCCTCCTGTCTGGGGCTTAGCCACGCCCATGGCCTGGGCCCGTATGGGACAATGGACAGTGTTATGCAGCGCTGAGGTAGCCATTCGCATCATCACTGCCCTTTGTGGAGTGCAGTGGGGGATACCTGCCCATTCTTGTTTATTTTCACACCAGAAAGAGGAATAAGCTTCTAAAGGGCTGGGGTGGGGATCAGGTTTAGTTAAGTTGTATAAAGACAGCTCCTCTGAGTGAGCCAGTGTGTGCATCTGTCATTGTGTAGGGGCACTTTGGGCACCAGAGTAAAAGCAGATAAGGTCCTGATTAAATCAAGGAATGGACTGCTTCCCCCGGGGTTCCGGCTTTATGTGTTGAGGCAGTTTCCTCATCCGGACTGGACCCATTACATCTGGATGATGGACAGTGATAAACTCTAAACAGCAAGCACAGCAGCTCTCCCACATCACATCTCACATTTGGGACTTTGGTTAGTGGAATGGCTTTTTAAAAAGATTCCATTAAATGTCTTTTAAGTGATCATACATCTTTAATCACAAGCAAAGAATGCCCTCCTGTCTGATTTGTTCAAATGATTCCGTTTTTCTAAACCCACATCAGTGGTGTAGACTTCATGTAAAGTCACTTGGACGGCCACCCAGCTTTCAGTATCTTCTCTGACCTGACACACAGCTCCCTACCACGGAAAGCCATTGTTCTCAGAATGAGGTCCGCTCCGCCAGGGCCCAGGCTCATGGTGTGCGTCTGCCCCAGTGGAAATGTTTTCCTGGTTGTGCTGCCCCTGTTGTCCTAGAATCGTGTCCCACCATCTCCTCATGTCTCTGTCCTCTAGATGAAGGCTGAAATTCTGCCTAACTCTAGATAATTTTGTGCTTGCTATAGTCATGTGAGCTGAAAACACAACAAAAAACCAACTCCGTAAATGTCTCCCACTCCCTGCCCCCTTGGCCTCAGCCCTAGCATGAAGTAACTCCTCCCCGCACCCTGCATGAACTCTAACTCCACATGCATCTCCCCGGAAGTCGTAGATGTTCTGGAATGCGCACCTCTCCGGACCGGGACTAACCACTGCCTTGTCTGCATTTACGCCCAGGTCATACCCCGGCCCTGGCTTGCGCTCCTAACAAAGACGTGGCTGACTGCCTGGCCCTCATTCTGGCTACCATGATGCCTTTTTCTCCTTCCAGTGCAATGACGGCTGTCAACTTCGTTTGTTTTAAAAAAGACAATTTGAGCAGGACGACCCTCTCCAACCTGGGTAGCATGGTTAGCCTGTGCAGTAACAACGTAGGCTCCGAGGACGGGTACAATGAGAATGACTCTGATTCTGAAACCTTTTGACTTTGGACTGTAGAAGCTTTTCCCTGATCACACATGTTGGAGGAAGGAGAAGCTTGATTTCTAGGTTTCTGCCGTGTTCAAGGGTTATCCTGGGGCCCGCGCTTTTGGAAGCCAGTAGAGGAGGAGGGAGAGGCCGGTGTGGGAAACTCTTGTACAGTGGGCCCCGGGCTGGTTTTGTTTCATATTTTCCTTAGCTCTAAGGTACTTCTGTGAAAGTCTACCTCTCAGTTAAGTAAGGAATAAACATGTATTTAGTTCTTTTTCTTTGGGGATAAGGCCAGAGAGGGGCGGCTGTTCACGTAAAGAATGTGGGAGTATCTCAGCAGTAAGTTCTCAGAAGCATCTCTGTGTGGCATTCGTGTCCGGGGACGGGGAGGGAGCCATGGACAGGAAATGCCTCAGACCTCTTCTTGCTTTGGTGTTTACTTCCTCACTAGAAGCCAAAGGTAAAGGCGTTCATCTTCAGAAATGACGCCTGCTGATGATCTTTTCAAGGGAGTCCGGCTGTTCCTTTCCTGTCTGCAGTAAGCACTTAAATATCCAGAACTTCTTTCTGAGGATCACTGTTAGTTCCCAGATGAATGGGAATATTGAACCTGCTTTTGTTGTTTAACACAAATATGGCACCCAGTGCTCCCCTAACAAACCTGTGACTAATTTTCACCTGAGTGATGAATAAATCCAAACTGACCTGGTAACGTTTCAGGTGAAATTGACATCGCACCAAAACTTTGAGATGATATGCAAATTTAATACAAACCTGCCCTCTGTTGATTTGTTCTTAAATCAAAATACTAACTTTTTAAAAGCATCTGATTCACCAGCATTGTTCGTCCTAGCGAAGTGCTAAGAGAGCTTTCTGGTCAAGGCGACCAGCGGGTGAAGGGACTGCGGAAAGGACCAGGAAGTGGAAGCAGGAAGTGGAGACGGGGGAGACGGGAGAGCCGAGTGTAGTTGCATGACGATGACGTGAACCTAGTGAGTACCGTGTCTGCTCCCTCTGCCAAAGCTTCTAGGTTGAACGGACCCCGTGCCATGCCTGGGACAGCTGTACAGAAAGAAGAATGAGACTTAAACCTTACGCACATACACACACATATGTGTACATCTGTACGTGTATGTATGTAGCTCATCCACCAGCTGTATACAAGGACCAAAATGCTTCCGTCTGAAATGGAAGATTTATAGCACTCGGGAGGTTGAGGCAGGAGGATCATTGCGAGTTGGAGACGAGCCTGGGCTACACAGCAAGCTCAAGGCCAGCCTGAACTGCAGAGCAAGACCCTGTCTCTAAAAGACAAAATAAATAAATAAATAAAATGGAAGATTTAAAGTGTTTTCCTTCAAAGTGCAAGTAAAAACTGAAGTAGCTTTTCTATGGAGTTCAATCTTTTTTGAGTACCAGTCTTTGTTGTATTTTATATTTCTTATGACAGATTTCCAGCTGACTGCTGAACATTTACAACTGATAATGTGTTGACCGTGGTTTATTTTTTTGCCAAATTAGAGAAGATGTCCATATACTTTTGATGTAAATGTGTTTATATTTATTTGAATGAAAGAAATATGAAAGAAATACGAGGAAACATCCACTGTTTGTTCTCTGTTTTCATTGCTGTGTATTTTATTTAGAATACTTTTTTTAAAAATAGAAACAACCCTTGACCCCGGGCCAGCCAGAAACCCCGGGGACAAACCCAGCATTTCCACTGCAAATGATCTGCGCATCTGCTCTCGGGCTCTCCCCCAGCCCATCTGCAGCCAGCTGAAAGCTTAGAAGACGCCATGATCCGCGCCTCTTCCGAGAGATGGGTGCTGGCATGTGTAGTGGATCCTGTACACGAAGGTGCTTCGAAGAAGGACCTGGGAATCACCCCACAAACACTGAAAATCTCACCCAGTCGCAACAACCTGAAGGGAAATGCTGCCAGTGTGGGCGCTGCACCCAGAGGAGAATAAAATCACCAGCTCAACTGCATTCCCCCTGGCACGAGAGACAGGAGAGGAACTGGTTGCATTAGAGTAGAATTATTAAGCATTTTATGATAGGCTCCATTTTCACCCTGGAAATGTGTGAGATAGTTTTTAAAATAGTGTTCTGTCCCATCTGGATCAAATACAGCCACTGAATTACTTTTTTCATCTAGCTGTAAAAGACCTTAATCTTCCTCTTGTAGTATCCTGGGTTTAATTAAAACTCATGTTGGGTCCTTCACAAATGAGAACTTGTTCAAAAGTCTTAGGGAACTGGTATTAATTTCATCAAGAAATGCAGCACTATCATTGTTTCTTAAATTCTTGGTGTGGTGTTTCCCTCCTTCTCTTTTTGTTTACAGGAGATAAATCTTTTAAAAGTGGGCAAATTGCTAATGAGCAATAATGACTTTTTCTTTACCAAAACACTGAAAATAAAGGAGCTCCAGTGTCAAAGAAGCATGATATACTGCAGTGTCTTTTTCTAGAGTAATTGGAAATCTTGCTCAGTGGCATTTAAAGCAGGAGATGAAATGCTGCTTGTAGGGGGAAGCGGCATTAACATCTTCCCCGTAGAGCAGCGGAGTGCAGGGCTCCTGTGAGAGGAGCTGAGATCCAGCAGCAGACACGGTCTCTTACGGAGCGGTGTTTGGCTTCTGCCCATTGTCTTCCTGCTAGAAGGACGGAAACGAAGGCATGCTCACCAGAACTTGTCCTTGAATCGGTGTCTAGCCTTCCCCACCCACTCACCCACTCTGTTTCATAAGAGATCAATTTTTTTAAAGAAATGACATTAAAAACTATAGTTTCTGTGTGCTCCAATTACATCTCTTAGAAATAATATGTTTGCAGCCTAGCTTTGTAAAGAAAGAAACCAGAAGGCAGGTTTTTGAGTCTTGGTTGCTTAGTGCTTTTCCCTAACTGTGTTATTTTTAGACGCATTTTTAACCACAGCCGCAGGACCATTCACCTCACTTATCTGTTCACCAGTGTCTGCCTATCTTTCGTAAATACATTATCTGTCTCCAAATTGCCTAAACTCTGCTATGATTCTACAGTAAATAGCTCAGGGGATTTCTATTTATCACTACTAAAAGGGCACCATAGTGTGTTTTGGTACTTTAGGCAGTAAACAACTGCTTGACTTACTCTTTTCTTATGAAGTTAGAACAAGACCATCCAATGGATCTGCTGCACTAGTTAATCTTTGTACTGTTGAGCAACTTGGTTTGCTAATCTGTTGCGCTGGTTGAAGAATTCACCCCTCTCCTCCTCTTGTAACATGAAGTTAGAGTGCCTTTTTATATTTGTATATTCTGAAAATGTTCTGTGAAACATTTTGTATTTTTTTCATTTGAGTGTTATCAGAGCAATATAATAACAGTGAGGTTTCATTTCAACCTTTCTTTGAATGTACAGTGTTTTTCCTACTTCCCCCATCTCTGCTTTGAAATGAAAATGCTAAAGTTTTCTATAGGAGTTATGTTTGATATTGCAGCGCTAAAATGCTTTCTTCTCACACAACTGTAAACCCTAGGTCAGTATTATAGGAGAAGAGCATTGAAGGTAGTGACAATCTGAGTGTGTGCATAAAATGTTTCTATGTGTTCCTTACGCAGTGAGCTAAAGGTTCAATGCAAGTATCCTCGTTTGGTCGTTTTGTCTACACCCTTTATGCTTCCGCATGTGCAATATATCTTCGCAAAGCACGGTGATACAAATCTGGTGCCAGTGTTACCTTGACATAACCTATTTGTAACGGCCTAAAATACTGTTTGATGATCTTGGTGGGATTTGTCTGTAATGTTTTCTTATGTAAATCAGAGTTGGATGACTCTGGTAAATGTCATGACTGTAAGAAATGAGGAAATTTTGTGTTTGGTTCGGTGAATGACTCAGAACGAGTCTAACTCTTCTCAAGCACAGTTTCATACTTTGCAACTACTGGATGCTCTCGTAACACAGTGACGTACTTAACTGTAACATACTATGGAAATGCATTCAGAGGGTTATTTTTACAAATAAAAGCGGTACAAATATTGTTGCAGTTTGTGTTTCCTTTCGTTTTGCCAATGTCTGCTTTTTCCAGAGTTATGCTAATTTAAACCTTTGTCTTATCCTCAAGCCAAACTGACTTTAGGTTTCGAGGATAAATAATCGAGCTAGAAGGATGTCTCCAAATTGGAGCTGTTTGCTATCACAGTTACGCAGAAAGTTTCAAACGTGTTCATGCTTATTTTATTTCTTTCATTACGGATTGCAGCTGACTTAGAGCAAGAGGTACGTGATGAACTGAGCCTGAGTTTTCTCTAAGCTCCCTTATAACCAGGGTACGAGGGAATATGACCGATTATGCGTTCACATAGATCAGAAAGGAGGAAGTGAGCAGGGTCCTCAAAACTGAGGCATCAACCGTCTTTGCTGCTGTTACCACTACCCAGTAGCTGCTCCAGAGCAACGTCAGTGTCTGTGCCTCTGCATTGTCACCAAGGGGATCAATAGAACTTGCTTCTCTGCCTGCCTCGGCAGCTAATGTATCTCCCCTTGGTACACACTTCAGGGGCAGTGCCTGAAAAGCCAAGGGATAAATTCTTAATGATGGAGTTTCCGGCTGCTGCAATTTGGAGGTGGTGCTTGCCTGAGTTGCTCCGATCACTGCATCCTAGAATGCTAGCAGTTCTTACACCCCACCCCAGTTCTATCACTAGCTTTTTCACAAAGAAACTGAATCCCACAGACATGAACTTGCTCAAAAATGCAGAGTTAACAATCTGCCTATACCCTGTATGCCACTAGGTGTTCTCTCTTCTGCACCTCTCTGCCGCAGCTTTCTGCGCCCTTCTGGTTTGCTCTGGCGGAGAGGTTTGGGAAGGTTTGGTACTTAGCCCTGCTTCCCTCCTTATTCAAAATACATATCTGAATGTTTTCTGTTCTTAACTACGATAAAGCATGAGTTTGCTCATGGATGATCGCTTTCTGCCAATTTAGAGCGAGCGGGAATATTAATTATCTATTGTTGTGAAACAAATTACCCTGAAACACAGAGGCTTACAACAGCAAATGTTTAATTTACTGTGTCCTGTTTCTGTGAGCCACTCATGGTGGAGCTGGGTGTGTGCCACAGGGCCTTTCAGGGGGTATAATCGGCGTGGATCTGTTTCTAAGCCCAGCCACATGACCGTTGGCAGGTCCTTCCTAGGTGGTTGGAAGGAGGGCCTCCGTTCCATGGCGCCTTTGGCTGCCTGTGTTGAATGGGCCTTTCATCCTACAACACTGTGGCTTGCCTCAAAAAGCAAGCAAGCTGAGAAAGCCAGACAGAGACAGGGAAGGCAGAACTCTCCGGGATTTTTGTTGGGTGGGGGCTGTCTCACAAGCAATAGTCCATCATTTTTCTCATATTCTATTCATTAGAAGCCGGTCACCAGGCCCAGTGTATACTCAAGGGCAGAGGACGAGCAAGAAGAAGTGAATACCAGGCACCAGGAAGCACTGGGAGCCGTTTCTGGAAGCCACTTACCACCCTGGTCTGCCACAGCGGCCCCTGAGGGTGTAGCATCATACTAGAATACATTCCTTCCAAGGATGGCTGAGGAAAGTGTTTACTCGACTTCCTAAATTCACTTCAAGAAAAACAGGGATCCCCTAATCTTCCTTGTGCCCTCACAGTAGGAAGTTGATAACGGCCTCGCTGCAGTAATCTTGCTGAACACTGGTGTAGTATTTTGTCTCCAAAGGATCCGACTTTCTGCTTCCATTCAGGAGGTTCAGACTCCCATTCATCCATCCCTCACTTCACACACTTAATGTCCCAGAATTAGCTCTCGAGGCACAAAGCCATTAAGCTAAAAGGCTATTAACATAACATAAAACCATTGTGGGTAGAAGCCTGTGTGAATTGTCTCAGCAAATTTAATATTGGAGGTACATTCGCCGTACAACAGAAAGCAGCGCATGGTGGTGGCATTCGCTCATCCTCAGGCACTGGGGGGGGGGGGGGGGGGGAAACGTGTGGGGCTTGTGGTTGGCACAGTGACTGGAGATCAGGGGTTGCTGCCAGCCCTTCCCTGTCCTGAGACCCAGGAATGCGAAGTATGCCATCCAGTCCAGCGGGCAACTGAGCGACCCCCGTGCCAGTGCTCCCCACCCTGTGCTCATCTGCATGCTCTCCTTCTGTTTCTGGATCACTTTGTTCATCACCTCACAGGGCCACCTCAGCTCACGGACTCGATTCCCTCCACGATTCTGGTCCCAACCCGAACTGGAAGAGAACCAAATTCCCTCAGGAGGTCAACGTTGAGCCTAGCCACTGAATTTGATCTGGTTCTCATCCAGCTCACCCGGAATCATGGAAGGAGTCAAGGTCGTATGTTACCTATGAAGCCAGTCATACTGCTTTACTTCCCACTAGACTTGCACAGCCTACCCTACCGGGCACCCCATCGTGAGGAGGACTTCCGAGCTCAAGGGGCACCTTGGAAAGCCATGCGAAGGAGAGACCAAGTGCAGGTGAGTGAACACAGAGCAGTGCTGCACGGTCAGTCCAAGTATTTAATTCCTTTCTGTCTGTACTGGTCGGCTGTCATGTCCCTGGAACACAGCACCGCACACCCACAACTTAAAGGAGAAGAGGTTTATTTTGGCTTATCGCTGTCAGAGATTCAGTCAGTGTGGATGGGCTCCAAGGCAGAAGCAGCATGGCGGAAGGGCCTGGCAGAGGAGAGCTGCTCACCTCGTGGCAATCAGGAAGCAGAGGGAGGAGCCGAGGACAGGGATACACCTTCCAGGCCGAACCCCCAGTGACTCGCCTTCCACCCAGCCCCTCCTCACAACAGTTCAGCTACTGCACTATTCGGTGGACGAACCTAGGGATGAGGACAGCGCCTCTGTGACCCAGTCACCTTCCGCCCACATGGGACTTCTGAGGGATATTTTTTGATCTAAACCCTAACAATGATGAAACACAGAAGTGCGTGTAAACACATCTACATCCCTTGTCTTAAGCAAGGGCTGATTGTGTCTACTTTTCAAGGAGGGAAACTCCTGCTCATAGATGGGCCCTGGGCCGCAGAGAAACAGCAAGGCCTGGTGCCAGCACTGCAGCCTCGTGGAGCTGTCCAGGCGCCAGGGGGCGCAGATCTAGAGGTCTACTTCCAAGTGACGACTTAGCTCTCTGTTGGAATTCTGGGTGAGTTTCATGATTTTCAAAAGTAAAGACGTTCAAGTAGAACTTAGGGCACAGAAAGCTTACCTGTGTTTGTACTCCCTTGATAAAGCACTTGACAAATTTGACAACTTTAATTACTCCTATTTCTTACACTTGAGCTTCCTGAAAATTTGCCAAGATTAAAGTACAGATCATAACCACAAGAAGCTGCCAGCTACACGCCAATCAGGGAAGAAAGACCGTGGTGGTGGCTGGTGCATCAGTTGCTTCCGAGAGGTGCAACTGTAAGGCAGAGAGACTGACCCCTGGATGGCAACACAGAGCTTATTAGAGACCCTCCAGGGGCGTGGGCATTGGGGCGGGGCCGCAATCCAACAGTGGGTGAGAGCAGCACAGTGAGGTGTAGCTAGGGGAGGATGTGGGGACCGCAGGACATTTGCTTTTAAGTAGATGTAGCATACTGGTGGTGAGGGAGTGTTCTAGGAGGAAGAGTAATTTCAGACATAAGATTCTTAGAGCAGTAGAGGAGGATTGCTGAGTAAGGTTTACTACACTTGAAATTTATGACCATGAATTTAAAATGAAACCAGTTTTGCGCAGGCATAAAGGAAACAGAAAGTAGAGTTTGGCCGGGGGCAGAGCTGTGGAGCCGTGCTGCCTGTGACAGACGTGAGTGGGGATTCCGGACTGGGTGAACGGGAAGCCAAGGCGAGGGAGAACGTGGGGTGGAAAAGGCGGTGTACGAACAGCGGATTAAGAGCGTGGCGGGGTTGGGGGGAGGATATTGAGCTGCAGCTGCAGAGGCCTTGGTGGGCTGGGGGCGCAGCTTAAAGCCAAGATTGCAGAAGGGAGTGGTTGAGGACCTGGCCCCCGAGTGGGTTGCTGAGGACAGCCGAAGGACAAAGCTCTGGAACCGAGTCCTGATGCCGGAGGCCAAGGTGATGAATGCCTCAGAGCCATTTATCAAAGAACTTGAAAAAATGTACCCATTTCCAAATGCCCATTATTTACGTATTTTATTAAAAGGAGATACCTACTCAAGGCTGAGAACTGTCAGACTGAGGTTTGGTTTCAGGATTCGGAGGCAGGGCTTTGTGTGTTTTCCCACACGGGGGTGGGTCCCTGGGCCTCGGGTGTGCGTATGTCCCCAGCACCACTCCCCTTTCATGAGACAGGGGCTTCCTAAGTTTCCCAGGCTGGGCTCGAACTTGCAGCTCTCCTGCCTCAGCTTTCCAAGTAGCTGGGGTTACAAGTGTGAGCCCCGTGCCTAGCAGGATGAAGCTGTTAAAGAAATGAGCATGGTAAAGTGCGTCTCTGTTAAAAGGGGGAGAAGGCAGAGCTGAGTGCGCCGGGATGACAGGTTTTACGGCCATATGGCTCAACCTAAATGTGCTCGTCAGGCTCCGCAGAAAGCAGGGCAGATGGCTGAGAGCGGCAGAGCGCGCAAAGGCGCCTGCGGATCAGACCCAGGAGAGAACAATGGACAATTGGGTACTTCCTCCGGGCCTTCCTCAGAAAACAAACGACTCAAACACTGGGCTGCCGGACTGCTCTTTAAATGAAAACTCGGTTGGCTTCAAAACATTAACCTTTCCTGAAAAGTCTCAAATTTTAACTAAAAAAGGGAAAGCAGGCTGAGGTTTATAATACCCTTTTGAATTTCTCTTCTTCAGAAATGGTTTCTTCATTCCTAGGGCCACGTTTTTATTTTCTGTTCTTCCTTGGGCCTGAGATTTCCTCCTTGCCATTTTATTATTACTTACAGTCTAATCATCGTGCTGGAGGAACCTTGCCTGCTAATTCACACTTTTCTGCCTAACTTTGTGCACAGGGGCTGCCCATTAGCACTCAGTTTTGATTAGGCTGCCGGGCCGGTCC